CGAGAATAATGAGGACACAACGGTTAAACTGAAACACAGAAGGTCTGTATCAGTCGTGCTGTAGCTACTTAATGTCTGTATCGGGACTGTTCGTATTGAGCCTCAGGTAGGCCTTGGAAGGTCAAAAAGGCAGAGCCATCGATTAACAGAAAAATACGCACATTTCTATGTCACCGCATGGTCGGAGTTTGTTTATGCAGTATTCCATCAACAAAGCCAAATTGAACTAGGTGGGCGAAAAACGAATTGATTTACTCACTGAGGGCACGACACGATAAATGCGAATCCCTGAGCCAAAAACCTACCTTGGTGCTACACAAACAGATAGTTTGCGCAAAAGCCGCACGAGCCGCATGCGGCATTTTGTACATTGCGCAATGCCGGGGCTTTTTCTTGGCTGTTCTTGGTTCTTGTCTTTCGATTTCAAATTTGCCGCGCAGCTTTGCACAATGGCAAAATATGCCGTCTGCGGCTCGTGCGGCTTTTGCGCAACCTATCTAATATATTTCTACGCGACTCACGAGTATTGTAGTCCTTGAAAGTCCTGGAAATCCTGTAAAGGGATCCGCTTACTGTAATAAGAATTGTGTATGCAGGACACTGTGACCCGACGCGGACTGCCCTAGAGGCGACCTCAGTGATGTAAATGGCTGTAGTATGCAGGCCTTCGGGACTTAAAAGTTGGACAGCGCCGGGACACCGGAAATCAGACTGAAAAAGTTAATCAACCTAAAATCGGAAAATCAACAGGCTGTAAGTTACTCATATATAGGTCACACAGACTCCCGAATCAACCTGTAAGTTTCCCATCTATCATGTGCATAATTACAACCTGAATTACATCCCAGCATAGGCCGGAATCTAGAAACCTTCGTACCACCTCAGGCGTCATGATCAGAGCCAGCGCTCGCTCTTCCCGACTTCTCGCCCCTGCCCCTGTCTCATACTGTTGCGCCGTTAGATAGTCAAATGTAGTCAAATCAGAGTATCCAGCTCGGTACCGTTTCATCCCTTTAAGCTTATGCATCGCTCCGACGGGATTCGCTCCGAGACTCTGGAGATGACTCAAAGCCCGAGCTCAAGACCGAAGTAGAAACGATATTGCACGCTTACCTAGGAGCCTCTCTGGCCCGCATGGTTACGAGCATCCAGCTAGGCGTTGTCTAACGTCTAACCAAAAGGTCAGACAGTTAAACCTACCTCAATTCGACCGGACGATGTCCACGGCATCAGCTGGCGAGTGAAATCAGTCGGCGAGTACAAAACCTCCAAAACGGCGGCAGCCTCGTCTATCTTGAGCCTTTGATCTCCCGCACCGGAACACAACTCCGAGGTCCGAAGAAATCCGCGAGAACGAAAAATTGGATAAACGAAATCCATGGCCGAGAAAATTGGAAACTAACTCTCGCACCTGCCGGTGTCTTTGTATCGCACGGGTAAGGCGTAGCCCAAACAGTCCGTTGGTCCCCATGTTGAGGCATTGAAGCGCTCAGACGAGTTTGCAAGTCTTTCGATGCCCAGTCCAATGCTAACCCGGATGAAAGAAAAATTGATCCACATGGACTTTGAAAATTTGAATGTTCTTGCGGCGATGCCTGAGCCACAGCTGCGATATATGTGAGTGAGTGTGAGTGTCTGCTGGTACGACAAAAGAAAAGAACCAATTCACAAATGAATATTTGCCTGAATTATGATGTAAATTCGTTCCCTATCGCCATGGGCTGCGGAGTACTAACCCTGCGGCCACTTGGGGAGGAATATAACAAGACGAAAAGCGGAGCTGAAGTTCAGGACTTACGTGTCGAGTTGCTGTAATGACAATCTAAATAAAACGTAAGGAAACTGGGATCGGGTATTCACACTTGTACCGAATGGGAGAACCAGTGAGGACCGCCCCTTTTGTGTTCAGTCCTCCAAATCGGTGAGTTATATACAATGCTGCCCTTCTCGATCTCTGGGATCTCTGTATATCAGTTGGCTCACGGGAGACGCCTGCCTGTCTTTTAAGTGGGGGATACATACTTCGGCGGAGAATACCCACTACTTAGGAGCCTATCTTTGTTTTTTGCGTTCAATTCAACGAACCTGTCGGTGACGAGTTTCATGCGATCAAATTATGTGATCACTCCCAGCAAAATGGCTCAAGGTATCTTTTCCTTTGCTTTTGATGAATTTAGAGACACCTTGGCGTCGGATTGAAGTTTTAAACGCGAAAAATGGCCAGCAGAAACTGGGATACGTACATATGTGTAGGGGGGAAGCACAGTAAGTTCGAGGGCTGCATCACGGGCAATGATATTTCAGGGACCAGCGACTGAGGGATCGGTACCCATCTACGCCGAGACGAGTTCGCGGGCAGGAGGCCGGATGGATACGTACAATAAACTTGGGGACATGTTGGCACTAATGCCGTTTTTGATCGTAGACAGTACATAGAGCATAGCTGCGGCAGAGCAGACCGAGCGGCACGCCGGGAGACGGAGCAGCTTGGGAAGACTCGCAGGGACTCGTTCACCGAACTAAAGATTAAATTAATGTACCAATGCGGGCGCAGCAGATCAAGCGTACGTCATTGAGTCATGGTCTTGCGTGGAGCCGTCGCGAGTCTGGGCACCAGCGGGTGCTCTGCAACGAGCACGTCGCGAGCTGGTGATTTCGTCGTGGGTGGCGAAAGAGCGAGGCACAGCCACAATGATGTGAGCGGATCAAATCAGTGTGCAGCCGCCGTGATGTACGCATATCTGGACCCATCCGGATCGCATTCCATCTCGTCTCGTGGCGATCTGGCCGCATACTGGCTTATCCTGCCTGAACGCGCTCCATGGCCAGTGCATTCAGGACACCCACATCAGCACCAACTTGGTGTTATTGTGTGGTTGAATCACACAATACTCTGCTCCGCGTCCGTCCAGCCCTTTATGTCCGTCCCTGCTCCCCGTGGACCGAACTCCAACGCAGGGCCTAGTGCATGCCATCGTACACGCATAACTTCCTAACCACACCTCCCCCGCCTCCCCTCCTCAGGCTCCCCCGGCGCCGCTCGTACGAGCAGAACGCCCCAACAAAGTTATACACCCGACCTGCTCCCCTTCCGCAAAGCTGCCAATTCCGCTTGATCCTCAAGTTCCGAATGTCGCCCATATTGCCGTATGCCGCATTCACACTCACCGCTGCTCTCGGTATGGTTCCATTCCAAATTATTTTCCATTCCGTTGATTCCAATGCAATACGTTCCATCTGATCCTGTCATTCTTGCTGAAGCGCCTGCCTCTGCGGTGATGCCGATCGGACGCAGGAGATCGTCCCGCTCCTTATCAATGAATGGCCAAGCTGCTACCTGTCCACCGTGACGTGGACGTGTATCGGCGGATATTTGATGTAGGCACTCCTCATCTCACGCATGCCAAAATGGCCTCTATCCTTCAACCTCATTCTGCAGTCGGCTCTCCTCCTCCGTTCCGCACTTACATACTCGCTTCCCGAACTGCTCTACTTTGCCCCACCCCTCCTCAACGTCCCGACTCGACTCGACTCGCCGCGGATTCTACCTGTGCACCTGTTTTCCCTATCTTGCCCGAGTCTTTGCTTCCCCACCCCGCCGTTCGAGTCGTTGCTTTCTCCGGTTCGTTATCCCTCTCTCTTTCTGCCGAGCGGCATGTTCGAAGCTCGCTCCTCTCGGGTTCACACGTCCGAGTCCGTTTGCATGCGAGTCTCGGGGCTCTGTCTCGAAATTTGCCAATCTCGAACTCGGAAATTCTGAAAATCTGGACCTCAACAACTCAGGAACTCGCGGACATTCTCGAGAATCGAAGCTTGCATTGGGACACACCGCCATCGTGTCCGATAGTCCGAAGGGCGATATAGCAGGCAGTACAGGGTTCGACTCCCCTCCAGTGCATGGGGCGATCCTTGCCAAATTAAATAAAAAAAAAAAGGATTCTCGATGGTTTCGACTGCAAGGAGCGATTTCGTTTCAGTGGATGAGCTCAATTCGGCTGTGTGGGATTGAGGAACTTGAAATAAACTTGGTATAAAAGTCATACCCACGTATCTGCTGCCAAAGATGCGAATATAAATAAGACAGAATGCGTACCAATGGTGTTCGGAACATGCCGCCATTCTGTGTCAACCCGAGACGCTTGTGACCAGAGAGACGGAAACGGGATTCGACTCCCCACTGGTGCATGGCTGGAGATGATTCCCACATTCTATTTACAAAAAAAAAAAATTCTGGCCAATTCACTGGATACATTACTGTACTATTCCGACCATTTGTTCACGCCATGTCACCCGTCACCGCAAAATTTCACTGGATAAGGTCTTCAAAATCTTACGGATTGTGTCACCGACCGTCAAACGTTCACAGTCGGGCGAATCACCCTGCCGATGCCGGTTACTTGCTCCCCGACGACGATACCAGGCCCGATGGGACCCAAGAAGTTTACAACAATATTTAGTGCAATGCTCATCAGGTGTAGTCCACTTTCAACCTGTTTGATTACCATTGGGACTTCAATTTGTGGACCTTGCTTTCGGTACCCTTCAAACTATCTACTTCCTGCTGTACACTGAACAGTTCTGAACCGGGCGACGCCGAACGTATTGGACCGGACCAGCGCAAAAAAAAAAACCGTTACGCGTGGTTACCAGGGCCCCATTTGGGAGGAGCACTAGTTTGGCACTAGTTCTTTTTTTGCCATTCTCGCCGTTTCTCTTTGTCAAAATTAGGTTAGCATAGCTCAAACATCGTTTTCCCGCCTTCTGACGCGCTCAAAAAATAAACTCTTCATAACCCAAAAGTCACCGTCACAGGTACCAAATTCGTTCACTTCACGACCCTCTGTTACACGGCACCTGAACAAATGATCGAAATAGTACAGTACTTTAGCCGAGTAGATGTGTGGGGTTTGAAGAGGTTGAGATGTGCTTCATAAAATGCATACCCACGAATCTACTGCAAAATTTTAACCAAAGATGAGGATCCGAATCAGACAGGATGCGCACCGGTGGTGTCTGGGACACACCGCTATCGCGTCCGAAAGTCCGAAGAATGATATAGCCGGCGGTACGGGGTTTGATTCCCTGCCGGTGCATATTGTCTGCGCAATTTTCTATTTTGTTTTGTCTTTGAAGAAATCTCGATCTGGATGGTTCGGAGTGTAAGGTTTCGTTTCATTGGATGAGCTCATTCGGTTGTGTGGGATTGAGAAACTTGAGATGAAATTATAATTCAAAAATTCAAGTACATACCGGTGGTGTTCGGAACACGCTGCCATTCTGTGTCAACTCGAGACGCTCGTGACCAGAGGGGCGGAAACAAGGTTCGACTCCCCGCGAGAAGGGCTTCCATTTGGTGAATTTCGGAACTGGTGAGGACATGATTCCTGAGTGGAGGAGTGAACGGTGGATCCATCATGTGTGAAGCAAAATTTAGTGCAGCTGCCAGACCAGCCGCCGATATGTCACGCACACACCAGTCTGCGGACGACAAAGATCTCACCTCGCAGTTTTGTTCCTCGTAGGCAGACTGGTCACGAGTCTATCTTGTACCTCTCACCTATACCATGAACATTTTTTTCGGGGCAACAGCATCCAAAAACTAGTACATAAGCGATAAAATGACCCCATATTATCGTTAAATCTCAGAAAATCAGGCTCATGCGAGTACAAGTACCTCATTCAACACCAAAAGAAAAGAACGCACAATAGGAAGGGACTGCGGCGACCGCATCATGCGGGCGATGGTGGAAGTGGTATTAATGCCGCTGGGGGGTTTGCAGCTAAGGAGTGCGACGTAGCCATGATGTCGTTCCATTGATTTACAACCCGGATCTGCATGCCCGGCTTTTGGAAGATCATTTAGGAACTCCTCGAATCGGTAAATATGCATCACTTACAAATGATTGTTGTATTTCTGCGTCCATCCGAGCGGTCAGAACTTGAGCTTTTGCGGTGATTTTGGATAGATGAATCCTCCACTGCTTTGAGTCGTTCGACAATCTTGTCGTTCGAAAAATAATCCGGATTCAGGAGTACTGTCGACGGCGTATAGGACTACTCGTCCTTTCTGCAGGCCATCAATTTGGTGAGGAATAAAGAAGCTACGCTTGAAGATTCATACTTGAGTTTCCAGCTCTCTCTCAACGTACACAAGATTAGTGGGATCTTGGGCCAAAGCCTTCAAGTTATTTATCTTCGCGTCTGCTGTAGCTTTGCCTGCGCTCCCGCTCAGGTATAGCTTTTTCAGCTGGTCACAAGGGCCCCCTGGGCTCTCCATAACGCGTGCAAGAAGGTTGAGCTCGAGCATGTGGTCTGTAAAAGATGTATGAGTAATCCTGATGCGAAAACGGACTTTAACATACCGCAGACAGCTTCCTGGCCCTTCGGCTTATCGGTCTTCGATACCTGAGATGGTCGAATTGTAACAGAAAAAGCGCATAAATCAGGCCTGGACTTGCCGTTTCTGCTTTGGTCGTGGTATCTCCAGACTTATAAGTGTAGTAGGTGCCCTTCCCCACTCCAGGTGGTTTCGGCTGCAGCCTGGTGTATGCAATCTGAGGAAGCGACTCCTCCCCGAATATCGATTCTGTTGAAATTGGGAACGTTTGCTCAGACTGTTGCGCATACGTCGACAGTACTGAGATGGGTGCTCCTGCGTGAGAGTGGAGAGTGAGGGACAGTAAATACGTTCCCATGAGCCCAAAAAATGCTCGGAAGCAAAATGATAAAGGAAATTTTCGAACTTGTTGCGAACATAAGAGCGGAGGGAAGAGGATGGTACCGGACAAGGATGTTGAACGAGACCCACCACATTTATAACGGAAGACTGGTCTCCTAAGACGCGTCGCTTTGGTGAGATTGCCGTGGTCCGAGAATGAAAGCCGCAGAAACACGATGGCCGAGGACCACGTACCTCCTTCTAGAATTACTCAAAGCCTAAAAATTGGCCCCATGGACGGTACGCTGACAATGGCATTTTGTTGAAAGTTTGAAACTAAAACATAATGGAACTTGAACATGCGATTGAGCGGGACCCAGCCATCATCGCTAGAGGATATCCCATAGTAGTGACCAAATACCAGTGCTTGTCGTTGTTCCGTGTCTTGAAAACACTGGAAGCGGGTTTCGGTGGGTCGAACATGCCATAGATTGAATAACAATGGATATCAACGCATCAGTAACGCCACGGTGAAACAGACTCCGTCTCATAACAGGCCGCTCGGTAACCCGTGGACGTGGCTACCCGTCGCCGAGGGTCTTGTCTCAAAACGAAGAATAGAGAACGGAACACCGTCTGGCGCCGCCCACGATGAAAGGCGAATATCTCTGCATACTGTCCGGCCTGTCCCCCAGCTTCGCTGGGCCAACGTACTTTGCGCCATCCACATCCAGAGATGACGAGACTACTTCCGAATTGTCCATCGACGAGCTAGCTATTGCGATGGCCACAGAAATTGTGGACATCTGGGGATCTCAGGCTGATCGTGATACTCTAGATATTGGTGCGGTCGAAAAGATTGTGGAGGCATCGCTGACGCTTTCAGTAACCGAGAGCGGCGACTTCTTTTGGTGGTTGGAGGACTACCTTGGGCGCCAAAATGGTTGGCCGGGGAACCAGCCTGAGCCTCCCGATGTCGAGGACAGATATTTCGGTACTGCGGTGGTCATAGGTCCCTCGCCACAGCGTGATGAAATCGTTCTGCGGCGAGCTGAAAACTACGATACGGAGGAGCAAATACGGCGGACCGTCGTTATCGACAATGTCGGCGGCGAAGAACAACGTTTTCAGAACGTCAACGATGAACCGTATTACGGAGTGGAGCGAGGCATGCCGTTCTTTTGCTGGGAACGTCCCTATAGGTACTTTGAGGAATGGATGCGGTACTCTCTACCGCTGGAAGGGGTGGAAGCAAAGCATTTCGCTCAGCGTTTCTTCCGGTTGGTAGATGAGAACCGTCCAGATCCTCGTACGATCTCGCTCTAATCAATGTTTAATTCCAACGCTGATGTCTGGTTTAGGTGATCAGTTTTACTTCTCAGGTTTGCCGACCTGTGTTTCGTACGGCGGGATAGAAAGGACCCACTGGCAGTTCGGCCAGTATCAGGATTTCTTTTCCAGTGCGAGGACGCTGGCAACAAATACTGCTGCTGCAATTGCCTCGGGAGCAAGAGGGAGCGATTTATGGCCTGCATTGGCAGGGGATATGGGGGCGTGGATGGCCACCCGCCCGGACAAGTGCGTTGCCTGTGATACCAGGATGTTTAATAGATTTAACGAACCATAGCTGGCCGTCCAAACCATCTACATCTTCAGCTCCAACAATTCAACTTCAAATTCAATCGGCGCTGCCCACGGGGTTTCATGCACTTCCCACGGAAATTGTGCTCCAAATCTTACCACTCGTCTCGGTTGCCGACCTTCTTGCACTGATGCTCGTCTCCCGCGGCATGCTTGCTCTGGTTCTTCCGCTGCTCAACGAGACATTGTGGTACCACGTCCACAATGGTGATCTACGATGGATTCTCCCCATGAACAGCGTAAAGCGCGAGGTCAATCGCGCCAATACCTCCGCAAAGGGGTGGCTTTCCTCTCTTCGGGCCTTGCATCCGAATCTATCTTCGACTCGAAGCAATTCCCTTTCGCGCAGTTCATTGCCGAATGGCTCAGGTCGCACTCGATGAGAAATCGCCACCGGTTGTGGAAGATATACAAGCAGTATCGGGAACTGTGGCAAGGGATGGATGAGAGGCTCGAGGGATGATGGGTGATACTCGCGAACTGTAGCAGTAGAAGTGCTCCATGTTTTTTGATTCATGAATCCCGCACTCTCACGATACATCTCCATACGTTGAAGGATGTCTCTTTCACCAATCCTTTTTTTCCCCCTCAAAGAATTACTCGATGGATTGGACTGTAAGAGCCATTTCAGTGGATAATTCGCCGTTACTTCAGCTGCTCACTCAGTTGTGGGACTGAAGAACGTGCTTCATGAAAGTTATACCCGCGAGTCTGCTGCCAGATAACATTCAAGAAATTCAAATGAGATGCGAATCGGAATATGTAAGACGAAGCGCACCGGTGGTGTTCGGAACACGCTGCCATCATGTAGCGATGTACAAGATTAAACACGCCGCCCTTGTGCACGGCAGTAGGACAAAAGACAGGTGGTACGGTGATACGGCCCACGAAATGTGAAGGCTGAATCTCACGATTTTTGCGATTTCTAAGGCTAAAGCCTAGCCCAGAGATTGGCAGAGATTGTGCCCCTAGGGCCTGTACGACAGCCCTATGGCACCTGTTCTGGTGATACTAAAGGAGAGCTAGGGTGAGCTCCGAACCACTGGCTGTAGTACTTTAGTGCAAACTAAGTACACTATCAAGGAGATAAACATATAAGCCCAAGAAGTCCAGCTAGGGATCATAACTCTACTAGGAGTACCAATGGCTGCACAGGAAAGGTCCTAGGAAGAGAGACGGGGCAGCTAGGGAGAAGTAGACGCCTAGGCACGGATATCGTATGGGAAGCTTGCTTCCTAGGAGGTGTCTAGTCGATAGTGACTAGCCAGCTAGGGCCAGTGAAGTGCCCTAGGGCGACGTTACTGAAGATTTGTCGAGTAGTAGTTAAGTTCTACTTAACCAGACGGAATGAGTACTCTGAGGAGCGTGCTCTGACAGTCGAGACGGGGCTAGGAGACATGTGACATACGCGACGCGGTCGCGAGGTGCCAAACAAAGACAAGTAACTCTTTGTGGCAGCAGTGTTGATTGTAGAGAAAGCGGACGCCGAAGTGTAGGCGTCCTAGCAGCGTGATGGCGAATAGAGTTCCGCATTATACCTTGTAATGACCTAAGGAAGCTTGGATTATCAACCAAGCCGGAGACATTCGTCCCCAGCGGGAGCAATCGGCTGGCCTAGGGCATTACAAATATACCCAAAACAGACCTAGGGGTCAACCTGGATGACTATTTCGGCCATTCCATCATGACGATTCAACTCGGCACTCAAGCACCTGATTCTTTCTTATAAAGCACCTCATCTCAGTTACTCAATTCGTATTATCTCATGTATTTCGCAAAGTAGTATAAAAGGGCAGAAGGAACCCCGCAGAAGACCAGTTCATTACACCAGGGAGTCGTGGTAGTGTTCCTAGGGCATCCTTAAGCGGTTGCTCAACAGTTCATTACACCCCCAGTTCGCCTAGGCAGTTGCCAAAGCCAGCTTCACCGGTGGTAGTGTCCTCAGGTCAGCTTCGCGGAGAATAGCACTTTCTCTGTTTGTAGTTGTTCTATAACAATTGGAGTTTAGTTGTTGGCTCAAAGGCTTGAGTTGTGATTTAAGCTTCAGAACCTCGAGTGACCTGTGAGAAGGCACCCTAGGAATCATTGGACCATTGTTAGCTTGAGGCTGCGCAGTGAGACGCTTGGGCATAGACTTATCTGTATGGGATTTGTTCTATAGAGTCAAGGTCATTCATTGGTAGACCCTCAGTAATCGTGAGACAGTGCAAACGTTCTTTGGTTTAACAGCCAGAGTCTGCTACCTGATAGGTGACGGTGGTATCGTGCAGCTAGGAGCTAGGTAGTTCCCTAGGGGCACACAAATTGTTGTATCTGTGGCTGGCTAAGGTTGCGCAGTGGGACGCTTGAGCATAGACCTATCTGTATGGGATTTGCGCTATAGAGTCAAGGTCATCCATTGGTAGAACCTCAGCAGTTGTAAGGCGACGCAAACTGGGTTTCTTGAGGCTAGAAGGCGCTTAAGACTCAAAACTATACAAATCTACAAAACACCCGTAGTACCTGTTCATCGGGGCCTAGGGAACGTTGCGTGAACGGTTACTTTCGAGAGCGGAAGTGTACTTGAGAACATTCAGTGGATTGTTCAATTGGAACTTGGTTACTGTTTCTGAGAGTTCAGACTTCGCTTGCCGCATACTACGGCACGGACCCACGAACATAAAGGAAGCGCTAATAAGAGGGCAGTTGTGTGTGTGTGTGTTGGTGGTTTTTGGTGGTGTTTAGCATCCCCTAGCTGCTATCGCATTTCAAGCGTACTGTTTAGCGCACCGTTTCAACGGGGTTCGACTCCCCTCCGGTGCATATAAGGCGTCCAACGAACCTTTTTTCTGCTTTTTTTCTTCTTGCTGAAGGAGATGAAGATGAATTTGCTACATCTGGCTGGCAGCGAGCGTCGTTGACTCGGAGATGGGGCGAAGAGGAGGGTTTGAGTGAGAGCCTGAGGGTCCAGCACAACAAGTTCCAGCGCCCTCAACGCCGGACAGAAAAAGAACCACAAATACATCGAAGAAGGTTTGCTTCCCGAACATGGAGAATTGATTCACATCCACATAAGTATACTGAAAACTCGACTCTAGAAAGTCCTGTTGCCAAATACCAGCCAAATGACTGCCAAGAGTAAAACAGGCGCAGGTGGTACGGGGCTCGTCTCCCCGCCGGTGTATGCTCTGTCTTTGCCAATTCCTTTTTTTTTTTTTTTTTTTTTTTTTTTGGAAAAAAAGAAATCTGGATGGTTTTATCGTAAGGGGCGATTTGTGGGAGCAGTTTCAATGGATAATTTGGCTGCGCGTCGTAGTAAACTGGACGAGCTCACTCGGTTCTGCCAGTGTGGGAGTGAGGCATCTGCTTCATGAAACTCATACCCACCGATATCAGCTAAAAAGAAAAGAAGAGTGAACACCTGTGGTGTTTGGAACATGCCGCCATCTTGTGTTAACTCGCCACTCGTGACCAGAGAGGCAGAGATGGGGTTCGACTCCCCGCTGGTGCACTGCTGATTATATCCATTTTTTTTTATAAAAAAAAAAGAAGAATTAATCGTTGGTTTCGATTGTAAGGGGCGATTTCGTTTCAGTGGATCAGCTCATTCGTTGTGCGGGATTGAGAAACTTGAGATGAAAATATCATTCAAAAATTCAAATGAGCTGCGAATCCGAATGGGTAGGAGTACGCACCGGTAGTATTCGGAACACACCGCCATCATGTATCAAAATAGTGAGCGAGCAGACGGTACGGGGTTCGACTCCCCGCTGGTGCATAGCTGTCTCTTGTTTCTTTTTATTATTATTAAAGAAATCTGGTTTTGAGGTGAGGGGCGATTTCGTTCCTGACTCCCTAGTACTGGGTTGCGGGGCGCGGTTTCAGTGGCTACTTCAGCTGCGGATCGTAGAAAATATAGTGGACAAGCTCACTCGGTTGTCACGAATATGCGCTGCCTGCTGCAAAATATCATACGGAATGAGATACGAATCCGAATATGACAGAGTGCGCACCGGCGGTGTTCGGAACACACCGCCATCTTGTGATGTACTCCAAGTGTAAAACGGGGTTCGACTCCGCGCTGATGCATTCTAGTTCATGTAAGCTCCGCATTCTTTTTCTTTCTTTTTAACGAAATCCCGAAGGTTTAACGTTGCGGGGCGCGTGTTCGGGGGATACTTACTTCACCGAAATTACCTAAGTTGACGAGCTCATTGGTTGTGTGGGATTAAGTCACCCACAAATCTGCTGCAAAAGTTCATCTAAAGATGCGAATCCGAATCAGACAGAATGCGCACCGGTAGTGTTCGGAACATGCCGTCATCATGTACGGAAATCATAAGGTAAGTAGCAGGCGATACGGGGTTCGATTCCCCGCTGGTGCATGGGATGGGTTCCTAATTCTTTTTCTATTTTGAGATATCCTCGATGGCTTTTCAGCTGAGTCTATGAGTGGATGAACTCACCGAGTCACTCGGTTGTATGAGATTAAACTTGAGATGAATCCGGATCTGTTTCATAAAATTCGACTGTACAAAGTCCTGGTGCTAAATATCCTACAAACGAATCGATGAATTGCGAATCAGAATAAGCCCAAGTACGCACCGGTAGTGTTCAGAACACGCTGCCATCACGTACAAAGCAAGACGAATGACGGCTGGTACGGGGTTCGACTCCCCGCTGATGCATGACTCTATCTCCGACAATTAAAAAAAAAAGAATTACACGATGGTTTGGAGTGTAAGGGGCGATTTGGTTCTTGACCCACTACTAGTAGTACTGGGTGTGGCGCGCGGTTTCAGTGGATACGTTACTTCAGTTGTGAGTGGGTGAACTCACTCGGTTGTGCCAGTGTGGGATGGCGGAACATGAGATGAATCCAGATCTGCTTCATAAAACTCGACTATAGAAAGTCCTGTGACAAAACCTCATCCAAAGATGCGAATGAGGCGAATCCGAGTGAGTAGGACTACGCACTGGTGGTGTCTGGGACACCGCCATCACGTGATAAACAACGATTCCAGTAAAGCAGGCGGTACGAGGTTCGACTCCCCGCCAGTGCATAGTATGCGACGATGCCTGTTTCGTTGTTTGATTTTCTTGCTATTGGTTTTGAAGGTGGGGAGATGGAATGGATTTGCTCCCTGTGACTGCTGGGGTGCATTTTGGACTCGGAGAAGGAGAGGAGAGGAGGATTTGAGTGAGGCAACACGCAGCGAGCCTGAGGGTCCGGCGCAACAAGTTCCAGCATGCTCAAAGCCGAAGGGAAAGAACCAAAAAGTAAATTGAAGGGTAAGATAATTTCCTTCCCGATTTTACTAGAATCGGCTCGTATGCAGATTTGATCCAGTAAAAGTCCCAGAGACGATCCAACCCGCAGGATTTTTGAGGTACAACCGTTGGCAGATCTTCCGGAGCCCAAATCGCTATCTCTAGTGTAGTGCGAGACCCCAAGCCAGCCCGGTCCCTTAGGCTCCTGCCTAGTCGCTCTGTTGCTTTCATCCCGTGTATCCAGTATCGAATTTCATACATGTATCATATCCCGAGGGCTATCTAGCGATCCCGGGGCCGGGTGCATTGGTTCTTGGCTTCGATTCTCCGCGCTCCCCCTGGCGCTCACCGGTTTTAATCTCCTCTGCTCACTTGGGTGGCCATTGGGAGGAATCTTACCTCACAGCGAGCGACTTCTTGCTTTCAGCTTTTCTTTCGTTCTTCTGTGTCTCAGCTGCGACCGCTCTCCTTCCATCCACCTAAGCGACCCCCACTTCCTCTTCTTTCAAATCTCCAGCTGCAAGTCCTCATTTCAATGCCATGCCAGCCTCTGCTTTTGTTGCTCGCCTGTCTCATGGCTACCCCTCCCCGCCCAGCCAAACTCTGCCAGGCATTTCACCACAGTGACCATTCGAGTGCCGACATTTGTTTTTCGCAGTTCATCCAAACCTCCGACTTCATCCAACTTCGGCCATCAATGCATCGCCGCGGTCCTCCCCCTCAGTTTTAAATGAGATGTTCGAGCCGCCGCTCCTGTAGGGCTTCAAGCAGCATGACCCCGCTGTGCGGACACAGATTGTGCTTGCACTCTGAGCGACCTTAATTTTGGGAAACCCGGTGCGAATGGTAAAAAAAAAGAAGCTAGCCTCGGCAGCGGTGCTCCAGAGTGGTGGTGGAAGCTCCGGAGACTTGCTCAGTAAGGATGCGGATATCATTGTCTCAAGAACTTTTTAGCATTTTTTACAATACCAGCTCACGCGTGCATTAATCATCCTCAGTTTGCGCAACCAGACATAAGATAGGAAACATATCATATATATGTGTGTACAAAATGACGACGAGGAATTTAGTTATTCCTACGAGGGAAAGTGTTCCAAATAAAAAGCCAGAATCAAAAGCAAACCTATTGACCATATCATCTGACACGTGTTGCTTGGATCTCAGCTCTTTTGATAGTATGATTTTGCCGTGGATGGAGGGCAGACGGGGTGGGCTATTGCCGAACCGGCGTACGTGAAAGAAAAGATGTAAAAAAATAGTCACTTCAAGACTCGAACGCACGACCTTCACAAATCATTCAAAAACCTAAGACTAAGATACTACAAGTACAGCACACTACCTTGACAGAGTGAGCCTCCCAACATTTCTAGACCCACCACAGCTCGAATATTTGAATAGAAAGCTATTCAAATATTCGCCAGGACATAGCACCAGAGTCTTTCGCTGTGTTTTTCTCTGGACGTCCGCGCACAAGTAGGTTTATTCATATTTTTTCCAATGTCCACTCACTTAGGGCTGCCACCCGTGCCCGTCACGGGCACGGCAATGGAAACGACGGGGTTTCGACGGCACGAGCCGTCTCAAAACGGCCCGTCGAGTGGTCCAGAAAAATCTTGACGGGACGGCACGGTCAACAGCACGGCCGTGATGGGTCCACGGCTCTGTAATATTTTTCTAAAGCTCTTTTTTTCATCAGAGCATGATTATATGACTGCTATGAGGTGTGTATAAACTTTATTCAACCTTTGCAGCCTGCCTGGCGAAGCTACAAATAATATCTGTTCACTCACTACAGATTCTACGACTCCTGATCTTCCCAATGGCCCCAAAGTTCAGTTCAGAGGACTCTGAAATCAATTGTACAATCGGAAATCTGGACAACATGTGAGGAATGAGTAAAACACAGAACAAATTGTGGAGGAAGCTAAGTTGAAACTCGGCTATCATATCCGGCATGTTCCGGCATCAGCGCAACTTGGCTGTAACTTTGCAGTTATACCACAAAGACCTGGCAAATTACTGTTGGAGAAGTGTTTGGTGAGTATCTAGGAGTACTCGAGAGCCTCAATGATCAAGATCAGACCCTCCAGATGCATTTGAAAACTTCCCGTTTGACGGACGTCACGGCCGTGTTTCAACGGGCCGTGGTAGTGTTGCCGTGGCTCGGCTTGGCTTGGCTAGCCGATCAAGCCGAGCCGAGCCATATTTTTTTTCGGAAAAGGTGCAGACCACTGCTGAAAAGGTTGTAGTGTCATCGGTTTGGCATTTGGTCAAGTTTTACGGTCGGGGCTCGGAAAGCCGTCAGACGGCTTTGGCTTGAAGCCGGCTGAGCCATGGCTCAACACACTTCAGCGTAGGACCGAATTTCAGGGCACCAGGTTATGCGTAAAGTGTCTTGGTGCATTGAGATAGTTCACTTATGCAATATCTTTCACCCACTTGCAGAGTTTCGAAAATGAGCTTGAACAGTTTGTTCGGATTGTTGGGGAAACAAAGCCAACCAAAAGAGATTTCTTGTTTTTGTTCACTGGCAGTGTGTTACAACTTCTGGAGAGCTAGAATACATGAATGAAGCCTATGAAAGACAAACTAATTTTTTTAGACACCCCTCTGGCCCGTGAGTCAGTGTTATGCAAAATTGAGCCCAAGCCGTGGCTAAGCCGCAAGCTAGTCGAAGCCGTCAAGGTTTGATGGCTTCCAAGCCGCTGCAAGCCGGAGCCGAGCCAGCCATAGCCGAGCCGCGGCAACACTAGGCCGTGGTGGTGAACAGCCGTGCCGTACCCATGCCGTGGAAAGTCGCAAAAAATTGCTGACGGAACGGGCACAGCACCCGTGCGACGGGTGCCATCTAACCGTGGCCACGGGCACGGGCAGCAGCCCTACACTCACTGGTTCGTCCCTCTCCAAGATACTCACTATTTGAACGCTGCTTGAATAGAACTGGAGGTCAGACTTGACGACTTCACTCATTAGCAGTATTTGGCTTTCATCACATCTTTCTCCCATCATCCATCCCCTCTTAAGATCTGCTGTCTGCTGGGTAATGAGTCTAGGTGGAGCTGGATACGGAACCGGGTAGGTAGGTAGGTAGGTACAAGGTAGGTAGGATTACATGGCACGGTCCGAATAACGAACACCAGTTCCCAGAGTTCTCCTGGTGTACAAAACAAGCTAAAGTTACACCTTTGCCCCTGGGCCTCCAGATGGGCGACGATGTGATGTTGTATTGATGTTTGACTGACGCTGTGACATTTCTCAATTGACGCAGATCGGCAGTTGATTGATGCATACTGTACTGGTGCAGTGTCACGTTTGACTAGTCATATTATGGGATTCCGTATTTGATGCATGTGTTCATTGCCACACCCAGCTCGCACCCAGCCGCAAAAATACATCGCCATTCCACAACTAATTTATTAGCTCCTCTTAAGTTCTGGCGGCCCAAACCATTTCAGACTTGAGTTTGCTCTACATCTTAAGTTCTGCTTCAGTAGTCTATACCCGTCCTATATATCACAATAAATGAACAATCTCGAACTTAAGTTCATGTTCCGGCACAACCTAAGCCCTATTGATAGACTTGAGTTCCAGTGCAACTTGAGTTTTTGCGCAAACTTAAGTTCTACGGAGACTTTAGTTCCGTATCAAATGTCGTCACACGTGGGTACCTCTTCAAGTTTGCACGAGATAAACAAAACTGTGGACCTTGGGTAGCATAGTTAGTTCCCGATGCAGTTTTATGAACACAAACGGGGTGGCATACCAGAATGCATTATGCCACTAGATATTTAGGTTGGTACAACTGAGCTTGAGCTAGCCCCAAGTGATCTGGAAAAGTTCTGGGAAATGTGAGGGTGCCTGTTGAAGTGTCCAGGAGAAGAGCAGAGAGCTCATTGAAGTCTGAGCCAAGTCCGATTGTCCAGGTGTTGTGTCGTGGCGTGTTTGGTAATCACGGCCACCCATTGTGTGATTCAGTAATGTCACGCGTTACTCATTCTGACTTCTCTCTTTCCATAACCACCAAATGTTCGGCGCCCACCAACCAACCAACAATCTGCGAAGCCGGGGTTCGAGATGGGGTGCTGGCTACCATCCCTGGCAGCGGTAAGATTCC